TACTTCTTTATTCAATTTGTTAACGGATTATTGTGAGAATCTTGGAACACACTTTAGATCATTTTTCAAAAAAAGAGAGTACCTTAGTTAGCAATGTTTGAATCAAGTCCCTCCCAAGTCCCAACTCCATATTCCATCAACTGAGGCGCGAGGGAGAATTGAACAAAAGTTGTTCACTAAAGAAGGGGAAAAAAAACACAAAGATAAAAGGGAAAAGAATGGATGGGGTAGGATGACCCTTACCAAATGAACATCTATGAATTAATTAAGGAATTTTTTAACCCACCTTTTTAAATACAATATCTATAATTAATTCAACCCAAATTGATATATTAGATTCAATTAAAATACAATATAATATTTATATTTACATTTTATAAAAAAATATAAATTTAATATAAAAATTTATATAAATCAATTACAAATATTATAATTAATGAAATTTAATTCATACTATTAAGATATATATTAAACAAACTCATTAATTAAAAACTCACAAAAAATTGCAAATTAGCAATAAACAAAATGAAAAGAGAATTCTCTATAATATTAAAAAAATAAAAACACACGCACACATAGAAATGAAATTTCCTACCCACCTCAAATTCACATAATTCAGCCACTATATAATACCAGTCTTGCTGCCTGCTTTCTCCATCATCTCTGCTTTCATCCTCAACTCTCATTCTCAAATTGTAAACTTTCTTGAAAATGGCAGCATCCACCCCTACTACTTCTCTCATGCTAGACTCAGCCTTAACTAACGAAATCTTCTCCATCCTCGAAAACAAGTTTCTGTTCCATGACATGAATAAATCCTCATCTGGGAAAGTCAGAATCTTGTCCATTGATGGAGCTGGTTCCACTGATGGTATCTTAGCAGCTAAGGCTCTCGTCCATCTCGAGGCCTTTCTTCGTAAAAAATCTGGTTGTCAAAATGCCAGCATTGCTGAATATTTTGATGTTGTTGCTGGTTCTGGAGCAGGAGGCGTTCTCGCCGCATTGTTGTTCACCCGTGGAAAAGATGGCGGTCCAATTCTTAGTGCCGGGGAAGCTCTGGATTTCATCATCAAGCAGCGTCGGAGGATTTTCCGCTCCTCGCCGCAGGGGATTATCCGGCGAATTTTTCGACCGTCGAAGGTAGAGAAGGTGTTTCGGAGAATTTTCGGGGAGTCAACTTTGAAAGACACGTTGAAGCCGGTTTTGATTCCCTGCTACGATCTGTCGAGTCACGCGGCATTCGTGTTCTCACGCGCCGACGCGTTGGAAATAGACAGCTACGATTTCAAGATGAAGGATGTCTGCGTCGCGACGACGGCAGATCCAGCGGCGGTGGGAGCTGTGGAGATGAGATCAGTGGACGGCAGGAGCAGGATCATGGCTGTGGAAGGCGGAATCGCCATGAACAACCCGACCGCAGCGGCAGTAACGCACGTGCTGAATAACAAACAGGAATTCCCGTTCTGCAACGGAGTGGGGGATCTCCTGGTGGTGTCTTTGGGAAACGGAGAGTGCGGACTAAGTTCACCGGACCCAACCTTTCTTAAAATCGCCGGGGACAGAGCTTCCGATACGGTGGACGAGGCAGTATCGATGGCGTTCGGAGAGCACCGGGTGAGCAATTACGCTCGCATCCAGGGGAACGGACTGATAAAATTCAGCAAAGAAAGCGATGTAGTGAGATTGGCAGAGGAAATGTTGGGTCAGAAAAACGTAGAGTCGGTTCTGTTTGAAGGGAAGAAGATGGGAGGGGTTACAAACTTGGAGAAATTAGAGGCGTTTAGCGGCGAGATAATTAAGGAGCAAGAGAGGAGGAAAACCAGCATTCTACCCATTGTGGTCTTGAGGCATCATGCATCCGTCTCACCAAGAACATCATCCGCCACTACTACTTCAACGCTTTCCTCTAATTAGGCATGAAATCTCTCCTGTTGTACCCACAATCTCTGTTGCCGCTCCTCGTCAAATATGGTGGAGTCCGGGCTGACTTTTTCTGTTAGGTTATACAGTTTTACAATTTTTATTTTTTTTCCTTTTAATGATGTTGGTTATTCCATTAGAGTTGACTGTCTCTTAAGATGGTGTGATATTTATCTTACTACAAAATTGCTTGTTTATTGACATCACATCGGCTGTAGCTCAAAATCATAATTTTAAATTACCTAATCATAAACATTAGTTGTTATATCAAGCATCAACTAAATAGTTATAGTTATTCACGAGTTCTTTCAGATAAACCAAATGCAATTATACTATTTTCATATGACCTTAATAATTATTTGTGTGAGCATAACTGTGGCTCCTGTTAATAGCCAACTCTACACAAAATCTCTAACAGCCCATGGTCCAGCAGCCATACCATTAGCTCTCCCCTCCCTTTGGGAACAGCCAAAATGAAAATTTTCCAGGCTGATCTCTGAAGACCTCCCGCGCCAGCAAGTCCTGGATTTCCTTGGGAGACACATCAGTATGAGGAGGTGATAATAGTAATACCAACCCACATCAATGATGGCTTTCTCTTTAGTCTTGATCAAATGTCTGTAATAGCTTTTGGTCCCCCCAAAAAAGGAAATGTCGGTAGTAGCTTCTGGCCCCCCAAAATTAATGTCGGTAGTGGCTTATTCAATTTAATGGTTTTCTCTCACTCGAGTCATGTTCTTCCACCGCCTCCTTTTAACTTCATATCCTCAATCAAATATCTGTATTCTGTTGTAGGTCATCCTCCAATCTAACTGAGTCACAGGCAAAGAAATCCATTCGTTTTGCTGATCAACTTGTGGGGGTCCTCTCTGCTAACATTGAAAGCCCTTTGCATGCTCTGAACTCTCTGCTCCTCAGTAGCTTTCTCTTGGTATTCACAAAAGGACAAGGGAGATATCTTCAGACATGGCAGAGGCATTTGTTGATGAGGGTGAATACAGGGCCGCCACCTGGACTGGTAGCAGTGAAGCATTAACCGTCCTTGATTTTCTCTTAGAGTATGCCAGTTGTAGGGTTAGGACGCAATTACCCTGTTGCTCTTGTTTTGGGAGCAAAGTGAGGCTATAGCCTTTGGTAGAGGAAGGAGTAGCTAATTAACTACAACCTGGTATATTATGAAAGAAAGATACTAACCTGAAGTTACACCTGAAGAGTATTTTTGAATTCTACAGATAAACTCGAAACTGTATAAGTGATTGGATGGTCTCATCAACAAGTACATAGTTCAGGTCCCTAACTTAATTTAACTAAGCTTTCAAATGGGTTTTACAAATGTACTCTAGTGTGTGCGTCAACATTAATCAGCAATAACCATAAAATAATTCATCCTTACTGTAATTGATTTGATGAATTTTCAGTCCAAGAACCCTCATATTTATTCACTGTAAAATTATCAAACAATATAAGAGCTCATGAAAGACACAGCAGCAACCATGATTAACCCACTTCAAGAAGATCTCTTATATAATAATCCCAAACAAATTCATGATTCCTATTCCTGGTTTATACATTCCAAAATACTAATTATTAATCCAAAGCATTTCACTCAATTTGAACTAAAATAAGTTTTGAAACAATTAGAACCACTTAAGAATCCATATAGACATCCTTCGATTATAAATCACTGGCTTTCAAATAAAATACCAGTGGAATTCAGGCTTGAGCAGCAACAGGACACAAAACTAATTAGAACTTAGAATGCATGCAACACAGCTGCCCTGCTTACAAACTCAGCCACCAATTATCTATAAAAAAATAAAAAATAAAGAAAAAAATCTTCATCACAATCAAAAGTCTGAGAACTATAACAAACGGTAATGGTCACCACCTAAACAAAGAATCAACTTCTGATTTGCACGGAACCAAACAGCAATCCCTCAAACAAAATAGATTTGAGTTCAACAACTTAAGATCACGAAAGACACCCACAGTTCTACTGACACTAGATCTTATAAAGAAACAAGAATTCAATTCCAATTCAACTTTCAGGAACTCAGCAAATGTTCAAAACCCATTACCATCTATACATAGCATGGCAACGATAAAGTTCAAAATCCAACCACAAGCACCAAATGCACTGCTGAATTAAGAAAGATATTTCCAATAAGCTAATACCATCCAACATTTACAAGATCAAATCGAAACCCTAAGAGAAGGAGAATTATTCAACAAAACACGGGTAAAGGAGAAAAAAAAAAGGGGTTAAACTAAGAAAACAAGTTAGATCAATTAAAAAATTTGAGATCATTATGAAATACCTTTATCTGAGAAAGTTAAGAGGAGTGCAATCTGTTAAAAGCAGCAAATAAAATTAGAATTACTGCATTCCAATCCTTTTTATATGTCAAATTTTGAGGAAAAAAAATGAAAAGAAAAAAAGCCAACAACTACAAGAACCCAAAATTTTAATCAAATGAGATTGGGACGCAGTAACACAAATTTTATCGTAGACAACTCTTCGTTCTATTTCAATTTTCAACCGACCTCCTCTGCTTCAGAGTTTCCTCTGTTTTTTGATTCTCTCTCCAAGGTAAATCCACTTGCTGGATCTATAAAGCACCACTCATCTCATCCTTTACCAGGCAACTTCTGATTGGTTGATTTTTAAGATATCCTGACGTTTTAAAAATTTGAAAACCTGAAAATGCCCTCAAGCTTGGAGAAAAATTACAGATCCTCTGCTGAGGGAATTCCATTTCCCCGCGGGAATCCAATTTCTCTATTTTTGGGGAGGGGAGTCCAATTTTCCTTTCTGTGAAACCAATTCGCCCTTTTTTTTTTTTAAACTTAATTTAATTGATAGAAATAATTAACAATTGATACTTATTATTTAAAAAGAAATTAATATTTTTCAATATTACAATTAATTATTTAAAGAAAAAACTATAAACATTTAAAATATCAATAAATTGAGCCATTAATTACTCGCTCCCTGTCATAAGTACTCACACTACCGTATTATATCAAATTAGTAATACAGGAACCATGATGGATGCAACAATATAATTATACTCTAAAGAAATTTCCCAAATCTTTTGTATCATATATCAAGTTAAAGAATACAGCCTTCCACACCATTCCTTTTCTGTTTCAACAAAACTTTAATCTATCAATTGTGTGTTTCTTTTAACTTGAGCTACAACGAAAATCTAACAGAGAAACCCAGAACCTCAAGTACAATATACAGAGATGATGAGGGTTTCACTGTACAGTGCATTTTCCAGTTCCACCAGCTACTTCCCTTGGTTTGCAATCTGGCTCGCCCACATTTACAAAATTATGCTTTACAGAAGACTACGCAAGAGATAAGACTCTCTGGCCCATGTCTCATACTTTACAGAGAGTCGAGTGCTCCACTTTTAAGCCTCTCCATTCGTGCCTGAAGCCCAGAGAGCGCTTTCTCATCCATGGGAAGTACCCCACCCTGCACGGGATTTTCAACGACAGGATGATCTGCTGTCCGACTCTGACCAGAGAGCCCATAATTTAAAGTGTCATTCATGGACATCATGGGGCGGTGTCCAGAATCCATGTTTCCAGAAGCTGCTGCTAACTGCATGCTCTTCATCCTTTCTCTGATTGCATCTAAAGTACCACTGGTTACTGCAGCTCAAAAACAGCATCCACCATTAAACTTCAAAACAGATTAACAGAGAACAATGAAATGAAAGCAAAAGGAACTAGCATAATTACCCCCACTGACATATCTGTCATTTCGCTGGTCACCCAATGCATTCTCACCAGACAGACCTCTAGAATTTATGGCGTTACTGACTCTGTAGTCTTCAGTATATGGTGGCGGCAAATTAAAGTTTGTTGGTTCAGTTTTTATATTTAAGGATTTTGTTTCACTCAAGGAATTTGTGTGTACAGGGGAAAGAGGAGCAATTTCAGGGGATGAAACAGTCAATGAAGCAGGAGGAGGAGTTGACATTGGCAAACTTGAAGGAGTCCTTCCTGCCGCTGCATTCTTCTCCATCTGCAGCATTAACAAAAACTCGCTAAATTACATCCATACACCAAGAAAATTTTACTGAGGGTAAAAGTACGCACCTGTGCCAAGCCATCTCTAATATAAGTGCGAAATGCCTCACTAGCATTCTGGAGCTGAGCAAATATATCAACCTAAATCAAGAAAGAAAATTAAATAAATTTCCTTGCTGCCACAGTAGCTAAATTTGCAATATAGCATACAAAGTGAATTACTTACCTTGGGGTATAGCTGAGTGATTCGGTACAGTTCATATAGGCCAATCGTACATGTTTGCTTATCTCCAATTTTCTTGAATATTGCAGCAAGTTCTTGCTGTGAGTAGACATCATTGAATTGCAAGATAGAGAAGAAAATTAGTAAGTGCACAAGTGCTATCTAAAAATATCAAGAACAATCCAACCATATCAACAAAAATTTAACATTCAAAACTAGATCATAACATACTTTTAACTGGGCATCAGCATTTGTTGTTGGAGATGAATTGTTGGCTCCTGAATCACCCCAATGGGCTTGACCCACAGGGCCAGTAGAGGTCAACATTCTTGCTGCAGCTAAGGTCTAAGAATAAAACATAATGAGAAAAAGAAATAGGCCAAGAAAGGTAATTTATTGTCAGATTGTATGAAGCCAGGAAAGCATTTACTTAGTTACTACCTCGAGATTGAGATCAATATAGGCAAGAATAATTGGCTGAGGTTTCATGTCTATCGGAACCATAGACAGATGCCCCTTTATTGCAGCTCCACGAAGCTTAACAAGCTCATGCAGAACAGTTTTTACCATACGCAATGGTTTGTCATCAGCTCCAGCTCTTCAAATTAATAGAAAGAAGGCAGAACAAAAGATAATGAGTTAGTTAACTGTGTTGGACAAGATAAAGGCCAACTCACACAATCAAAGGGAAAAAACCAACAGATGTACAACATACCTTCTCCTGATTTCTTCCATCCCTAATTCTTGCAGATACACATGGATGCTTTGAAGGATGCGGTCAAGATCAACATCATAGATAGTGGTTTGGAGAACCTGCAATAAAAAGAAGGTTATAGATGATAGTATCCACAGAATCAGCAAAAGAAATAGGGTATGTCTGGAATTACTGTGATGTGCTGTGGCTGTAACTGTGGCTGAGCCAAATGTGATGAAAGTTATTTTAGTGTTTGGTTATTCATTTATCCAAAGAACTGCCTAGTAGTTAAACTTTAACATGTAGTAATTATAATTTATAAATAGAGTCAAAATATAATTATTTCATAACTAAAATAGATACATCATCCAACATTGTATAATGCTCAATGTTGGTTGTGGCATTGGGTTACTAATTGTGAATAATTTTGTTAGATCCTATGAATTTCCTGCATGAAGAATAGAAGGGACCAAGAGGAGATATTACCTTTGTAAGTTTAATAAGACATTTGACAACCAGATCTGAAAACTTCTGATTTCTTGATGCCAATGCCTCATTTGATGCAGGCGAAGGCCATCTTGAGGGATCCAGTGGACGCAGGAGATTAATCAGCACAACAAAGGATGCAGTTCGATCTGCATTATCCTGTGTAAACAATAATTAGTTAGAAATCAGAATGTGAAGAATATTTGTCTCACGTTTAAGACCAAAGTGTAAATCCAGATTTTGAGGAAGTTCACCAACCAGTATCTTGAGCATCAAGACATTCAAAGCTTTCAGAAGCTGGCTGCCATCATCCATGTGGGGAACTCTTTCATCCAAAAGCCAAAGAAGAAGTTCAGTAATTAGATTGTCGAGAGTATTCTCCTTGACAGCATGAGCAAGCCTCTTATTTTGAAATGTCTGAAACAAAATTACAGAACAAAATTAATATATGTAAATAAAATATCCAGTGAGGCTTTCTTTGCCTGCTAGAGAAGTTGCAGAAAATTACAGAATCAAATTCCCATTTGCAGTAAAAAAGATTATACATGTAAATCCGCAACATTTAAAAATGCAATAAAAATTGTGTCAACTGGGTTGTCACCTGCATTAGTGTGTTCAAGACATATTTGCAAGACCTTGATGATGCACCAGCCAAACTGAAGTCAAAAGTCTTGGCTACCTATTATGAGAAAGGAATAAAGATACAGCCACACTAAGAGGAAAAAAGGCTTTGAGAAGGCTCAAATGAAAAGTAAAGTATTCAATACTACAAGCAGAAGCAATGAAAACTATATATGGAAAAAATTAGTAATAATCACACAAGTGAAAAGTTGATTGCCTTATTCGCCAAGCATGAAACAAGTCTATCAGCATCCTTTGAAAGTTCATCCATCAAACTGCCTTCAGGATCACTAGTAGCCTGGGTCAATTCATGACAGACAACTTTCATTCCTTCAACAGACTGCAAACAAATATATTCTAAAGCTTAGAACCTAATCATTAAGAAAACTTTCAGCAAAAGTTATGCAAAAGAAAATGTAATTGAAAATAAGAACACAATAGAACAAAATAAATACTTGTCAAGATTTTTGAGAAGATTGTATTCAATAAACATAAGCATAGTTACCTCTCTAGTTCTCAAATATAACAAAAAAGGCGTTTCACCTAGAACTTGATCCAAACTCAACTTTTGCCAAATCTAAAACAGGATTAGAATTACGTCCAACAACTCATCACAGCTAAACTAGAACTTCCTAAGCTCTGCTACACAGTTTCATTTTCTTTATAATCTTTAAAAAAAATCCTAAAAAATAGGGAACAAATAAATAAATAAATAAATAATAATAATAATAATAAAATTTACAAAAATTACCAAAAAAAACTAACCATCAATTTCTTCATTATCATCTTCAAAAGAAAATCTTTTATCCATAAATATCTAGAAAAGGTGAAACATGTAAAGTTCTGCACAAAAACATGATTCTAATGTGGAAAGAAAACATAGAAAAAGGTAGAATATGTTGTAATTGTAGCCAAGGCATGGACTATGTAGGAACTTATTCACATAGATAAACTGCACATAAAGTAAATAAAGGAAATTGATCAAAATTGGTGTAAATAGCAACAAATGCAAGAGCTGCAATTGGGAAAAACTTAGAAACCTGGTCAGGGGAACCAAAAGAAATTATATCCAGAGCTTCATTCCAGTCCGTGGGGCCAGTGACACTAAGTGTATTGGGCATTAAATGTCTCTCGATGTTTATCTCTGAATGGCCATAATTTTTCCTGAAATTTAAAGACAGTTATGTAGTGCTAGTAAGGACATCC